GGTTCCACCTAAATGTAACATACTACATAATTTACTCATTCATTTGTTTGTTGTCAGAACAAGATCAGAACAGGATCACAGCAAGAAAGACTGGAAATTTTGTCTCATTCCTAGTTCTGAATCCTCAACACTTAGAACAGTGCCTGGAACATAGTTGGTGCTCAATAAATATTTGTCCATTGAATGGATGAATATTTCTGCTAGACTCCTCTTGTAACCTTGGGCAGTCAACTGTCTGGACCTCAGTGACCCAGTCTCTGAAGTAGGAAGGGTGGCTAATCTGAGGGAGAAAGACTAGAAATCACTGGCTGAGTACTCCACAAACATGTGTGGATGTTCCACCTGCCTGGCCCCCTCTGACCCCAGGGCTTCATTCTTGCAAGCAAGGTGCCTGATGCCCTGTCCTCTCCTTGGAGAGGACAGAACCCTGAGGCAAGGAGGGCCTGTGATAACCAGACCAAGCCTGAGCTTGAACACAACTTCTGGATCTCAGTGGCACCAGCCTGGTCTGGTGGGCGGAGACCAGGCACCTCTTCTCTGCTCTCGTGCCCACCTGGGTGGCCACCGAGTAACCCCTGTCCTGGTGGCCCGTCAGTGAGTCCAACACCTGGCAGCCTTGCTGACTCCTTTGCCTGCTTTCCCGAAGCCCATGCCCGGGGTGCCCCCCTGCTCCTGTTTGTTGTTTAACCCTGGAGTAGCATTTGGACACATACTTTGTGTGAAAGCAGCTACTCAGATAGGCCAAAAAGGGGCACCGTGTCCAGGCCCAGGCTGTCCTGAACATAGCCACGCCTCACCAGGAAAGACTGGGCCTTTGAGACCTGTGAACACCCTGCTCTGCCCCATAGAAGTCTCCCACCAGTCAGGCGAAGGGGTGGGTCCCCTCTCCCCATGTAGCCCAGACTAGGAATCCTGTGGTAGGTGGTAGAGTCAGACTACTGGCCTGAGCAGGGATCTTGCTAGCCAGGCAGCATCTCCTGCTGGCAGTCCCCTGGGCATTTAGGGAGCACCTGCTGTGCACGCATGCTGCCACCATGGTCCCATGGAGTCCTGCCACTAGTCTGAGAGAACAAGCAAGGGTTTCAGGGCCACGCAGACCTAAGTTTGGACCTGGGCCCTGCCACTTTTTTCATTCGCTTGCTGAATGCATAGTGAGCACCTGCTCTGTACCAGGCAGAGGCACGAAAAATCCCTCTGGAAACTCAGCCAGGCAGGCATCGGATTGTCCTGCTGGGCGTTCTCCAGGAGCCCTTCCATGGCGCTGAGCCCGGGGCGCTCCTCTCAGAGGCGGGCAGATCCTCGTTCCGGGGGCCCTCCTAATGACTCGCCATCGTAACATTTGTACAAGGGCCTGGTCAGGTAGGGTTTCCACCCCACTCTGGCAGTTGTGGATCTGGACACCCTGCACCTCCAGACCACCGCCAGGAACGAGAAATGCAGAGCACCCTGAACAGATGCAGGGCGCTGTTCTCTTTTGCGATAAGCTGCCATCTCATTCCTTCAGAGCCCTGGGATATGTGCCCGGAATCCTGAATCTGTGGCGTGCACTCCCTGAGTGACCGCTCGTGAGTCACATGACCTGTCTTTGCCCAGGTGTCCTCCATCTCCAACCACCCCTCTTCTTCTTTAAAGGGGCTGTTGTTGCAAAGAAGAGATAGCCCCGGGCTGGGTCATGTTCACAGGAGGAGGGCTGCGGTCAGCCTCATTGCCTCATTCATTCATTCACTTATACATTCATTCAAAATACTGAGTGTGTGCCAGGCTCCATTGCAGGTATGGAGGGCATTCCATTCAGCAAACAGACAAAAACAAATATAAAATACACAAATAAGTAAATTAAGTGGTACATTAGAAGCTAAAGAAGGCATTCCAAGCAGAGGGACCGGCAAGTACAAAGGCCCTGAAATGAGAGTGTACCTGTAAATTTGAGGGACAGTGGTATGGGGGGGGTGGGAATGAGGTCAGAGCAGTGGCTGATTTTGTGGGGTCTCATCAACAACTGTACAGACTTTCTTCTTCTGGTCACCCTGAAACCAGGGAGGGGGTGGGAGCGTGTCCCTGCCTTCCCCAGGGGAAGGTGGCAAACACTGCCACCATAAAAGCCCCACCTGCCAGCCTTGACCTTGTGGGTCTCTGCACAGAGGAGGTGGCTGAGTCAGGATATGAGACGGAGGGCCTGAGGCTTAGGGTCTGGCAGCACTGTGATGGGTTATAGATCAGTTTATGGCTGGCTTGGTGGTCTCCAGCAGGGATTTGGGCTTTTTTTTTGTCTAATAGTGCATACACAGTGGGCTTCTCCTGGCTCATCCAGCAGGCTTAGGACTAAGGGACTCTGGTCCCCAGGTCAGACTAAGCAGTCTGCCTTTTAAAGTTGGGAAGCCAGGGAGGAGCTGGGCTGCCCAAGGCCTGCCAGCTGGGAGTAGGTGCTTGCGGTCGGTCGGCCCCTTTGTTTCTGCTGCATCCTTACCAGGTGAGCCAGGGGTCAGTCAGCCCAGAGGGCCATTTTGGGTCCATTTCTGGGAGATAGGGCTGCTTTTTGTCCCTGGGCAGCCACACTCAGGAGTCTGGACACTGTAGGCCTAGCAGTAAAATATTGATTCCTTGGCAGAGGGAACAGCATGTGCAAAGAAACAGTGAGGCTCTGGGCATTGGAATTGATCAGGTCTGAGCTAGACCTCAGGATTCTGTTTTCAGTTTCCCAGTGGACACTCTTTGGCATTGACTCTTCAGGCCACTGGGGCACCAGTGCCACCAGCACCTGCATAACCCACAGCCAAGAACCTGGAGGCACAGCAACCCTTTCATGAAACCCCTTGCTGCTTCTCCTTCCCCTGCCCAGAGGGTTCTGGACTGAGGGAGACACCCAGGTGGTGGGGTGGTGAAGTGCTGCCTGTAGCTGCCCTCCTGTAGCTGCCTGAGAACCAAAGGCCTCAGTAAGGCCAGGGAAGGGGTAGGAGGAAGCGACACCCCCCCCCCCGCCACAAATGGAGCCGTTAGTGGGGTGGGGAGGGGGGTTGGGAAATGAGGAGAGGGCTTTGGCAGATCACTGAACCACAAAACCTGCGCTCCGCCCCTCTTACCAGAACAGAGAGGAGTTGAAAGGGGAAGCAGAGATGAGGGCTGAGGAGAGTGAGGGAGAGCCAGGTCTGACAAGTCTGTGTGGTCCGTAGCTCAATAATCAATAATGATGATCGATAATAGAGTAGACCCAGGACAGGTCGGACACGTGTCTGGGGAGAAGGGTGAGTGGATGAATGAATGAATGCCTGCATGGGCAGTGAGCAGCCCTAGCAAGGGGCCGGCCAGGCCAGCGCTCAATCACAGCCCCTGGGTGCTGCACCCCACCACACGATCAGAACCCCACTACTGTGCCTGCCTGGGGCGCAGAATTCCATACCCCCACCCCCACCCCAGGGCTCTGGAGCTGCTGTCAGTGGCAGCTCTAAGGCTGGGGCACGGAGGGGCCCCCCTGACAGCGATGCTGGGGCTCCACGTGCCAGCCTTGTAGTGCGCCTGGCTGGGCCACCCCTCAGCGGCAGGAGCACCTGGAGGTGAGGGCCACCTTGAAGTTCCCGTCCTGCTCTTCTTTGTCTGGGCCTAGTCCTCCACTGTCTCCGACCGTGACCTGCCTCTTCGGGCAACCCCCACCACTCCCTTCCAGGCTGCTGCTAGATGTCCTGAGTGTCAGTTCCAGCTGCCGCCAGCCCTTAGGCGACTTCCCTGTGCAGCAGGGTTTTCTAAAACCAGTGCCTCTAGGACCGTGGGGCTCACAAGTGCCAGGATCTCCAAGCTGCATCTCTGGTGCGGAGAGAGGGGGCGTAAGGATGAAGTATCCCTCTTTCTCCGCCTTCACTCTCCCGCCCCTCCTCTGCCACTACTCCTTGCTTTACGCCCTGACCCCATCGCAGCTTGTTCGCATCTTAAGCGGCTTTTTCTGAGGTGGTGGGATCCCTGCCACCACCCGAACCCTTCCTCCCACCTCGCCTGCCAGGCCTCAGACCCGCACGCAGAGCGCAGCCCCACTCAGGATTGCCTGCAGGCAAACACCACAGCCTCTCATCAAACCACAGTCCTGCACAGGCGCACTGCCCCTTCCATGCACAGCCCCTTGGCCCCAGCAACCGCAATCCCAATTGCAAACAAGCCCATACGTACACACAACACCCCTCAGACACACTCGGGTCCACGCAGACACAATCCCACACACGCAAATCTCATACAGACATAGCCCCGCACAGGCGCAGTACCACCCACGCAGTCTCACCCAACCCCATAAACAATCGCATAAAAACATGACCCACGCAGGGTCCCTGCGAGACCCAGAGACACATTCACAGCTTGCAGCCATTCACAGCTCGCAGCCAGACCCTTACACCCCGTGACATTCACACGTAGGACAGACCAGAAATATACAGCCTCATTGATACACACGGACCTAAATGCGCAGCCAAGGGCTCACCCACCGGCTCATAAGTCACTGGAAAAATATTAAAGCGTTCACTCCCTTCCCTTTAATCTCTGACAAGCTCGCGTGCGCGCGCTCACAGAGATACTCACCCCCACCCCCAGACCCTAACCCAGCCTCCTAGCCCAGAACCCACAGCCCCCACCCCATGAGCTTTGGGAGCGTCTCCCCGGCTGCAAATGCCCCGCTTCCTCTTCTGCCCCCTCCTCCTCCCCTCCCTCTTGTCTGGGGCTTGGGTTGCACGCGGCCAAGCCCCCTCGTCGTGCCCCTCCCCGCGCGAGTGCGCGCCCCCTCGCCTGCATCGCGCCTTCCGAGTGGATGTGGCCACAGGGCGGTCTCTAATTACCTCCCGTCCCCCGGCGACCCGTGAATAATGGCTACTGAGGGCGCTCGCAGGGGCTGCTGAGAAGGAAGCGCGGGGCGAGAGAGGCGCGGCGCGCGCGGGAGCGCGAGAGAGAAAGGAGCGAGCCTGTGAGCAGCGACAGAGAGAAAGGAATCAGGAATCCTGCGAGCGCTCACATTTTTTTCTCCCAAGGATCTCATCTGGCTGCTGCGTTGTGGAAGAAGCCAGGGGGAGAGCCGGCGCTTGAGGAGGAGAAAGACTGCCTGGGGAAAGAGAGACGGCAAGACGCGTAGCGCTGGCACTTGGGAGACCCAGGAGGAGCCCGCAGGTATTGTTGGCGTCAGAGCTTTGTGTCTTTGGGGAGCCGTTCTGGGGTTCGAGGGCTCCCGGATGCCCCTGCCGCCACGGCGCTCAGACCTGCTACAACCTGGGGTGGCCGGCGGGGGTCCCTGCCAGAACCCCTCCCGCGCATGCCACAATCTTGGCTGCAGTTCCAGATTTGCCTGTTTGGGGGTTTTCCATGCCGGTTGAGGGAATTGGCCATGGGAAAAGAAATTCTTTTTTTTTTTTTTTTTTTTTAAATTTCGGCCATAGTTTGGTTGTGCTGGGGATGGGGATTCCCTTCTCTTTCCTCCATGGTCTCAGCGACAGCGGTACTGGCGGAACATAGTACTGAGATGGAGGGGCTGGTGGCCGCGGATGGGGAGGTGAGGGAAGCAGAAGGAAAGAGTTTTGTTCAAGTTCACAATCTGCAACCTGGAATGGGTCAGGCCGGCGAGGGATGTCTGTGCGCCCTGTCCTGCATTCGGCAACCGGTGGGAAACTTCCCGAGAGCGCAGCCTCCCGGGGAACTTGGCGCCCCTGCCGCCTCCGGGTGCTTCCTCTGGCCTCCAGCACAGCCCTGCTGCTTGCGCTTAAGGTCGTGCTCTCCCACCCCCGCCTTCCTCCCCCGCCCCCCCCCCCCCGCGCGGCTTCCGGATCTGTATGGAGCTGGAGCAGCAGCTTCAAACACCCCCCTGGAGACCCCTCCCCACTCCTCAAGCTAGTGCCTGCTGGATCTCGTGCCCGAATGGCCAGGCTGACAATGAAATCTTGCATTTCTGCTGGCGGGGTGGGGGTTGGTGGTAGCTTGATCTCTCCCAGGACCACTGACCCTGTGTCGGAGGAGAGGGAGGCGCTTGTTTAGGTTAGAGACCTTGAAGTGGATGGCGCCTTGAGGGTTGGGGGTGGGGACAAGGTGAGAGGCCCAGGGAGGCCAGAGGCCTGGGTTTTCCACCAGGATGGTGGATTGGAGCCCCTCTTGGGCTTGGTGATTGGCTGGTGACTTCAGGATCATCGGAGGCCCCCCGCCCCCCCAACCTCAGCCTCCTCCCTCCACCTCGGCCTCCTCCCCTCACATACAATGCGGGCTTCAGAGGTGATCCCACGGGTGATGTGTATGTGATGAAGTATTTGTCTCTTGTGATCCACAGAAGATGCCGTTCTGGTGACCCGGTGGTTCGGACACCTCATCCCCTCCCTCGAGGGCTGGGGGGAGAGAGCAGTGGGAACTTCTGTTTCCACTGGGGCCACGGGAAGGTCGCGCTACCCAAGGGAAATTGGGGGGGTCGCAACCCTGAGGGGGGCTCAACTCAAAGTGGGGGCTGCCAGGTCAGCGGTTTCTTGGCACTGACAGCTCCCAGTTCCTTCTACTCCCGTGGGGGGGGGTTGGAAGGGGTGAAGGGGTAGCTGGAACGTGAGTGGAGGCAAAGAAGAGCCTGCCTCAGTTGGATCACCAGGTGAATTTGAAGGGCCAGCCAGGGACCCCGAGCTGGACACCCAGGCAGGTGAAGGAACCTCTCCCTACTTGAAGAGACAGTTCCTGGGGGAGCGGGAAGGCACCTTGGGGGCAGCGGCAAACGGTTTCAGGCCTTTCTGTGTCTTGGTCCAGGAGTAGAATTGGCCCGCCCCAGATGTCTGTCCGCTGTACACAGCAGGAACACGCAGTTGGGCCCCTTGACTTGCTGACAGTGGGGGGAGCTGGTAGATCTTCGTGCTCCCTTCGCAACACCTGCATTGGGGCAGGGCCTGCCTGGGTGGTGCCTGGTTCAGGGACCTTAGGAGAGACTGAAATTAGAGCTGGACAGAGGGTGTCGTAGTCAGGGAGCGGCCTGTAGCCCTGAGGCTTTGAAAAGGAGTTAGTTACCAGGGTTCAGGACACAAGAACTAGAAGCAGAATCACCTGGGGGGACTAGTCCCCCCAACCCCCCACCCAGTCTGTGCTTGCCCTGTTTGCCACCTTCATCCTCACCACCCACAGCTGGAGGCTTGGTGGTTAAGGGTGAGTGCCTTAAGGCCAGGCTGTAGGACCCTGAGTGCTGAGGGCAGGCCCCACCCCCAGGGTTGATTTCTCCTCCCTCACCAGAGACAGGGCCCATCGTGGCCCGAGGCCTTAGCTGGGCAGTCATCTGAGGGACTGTCTCCCCCCGCCCCATCCGCCCCGCATTTCTGCTTCCCGTGGGGGCAAGGCATTCCCTTCGGATCTTAGAGCTCTGAGGGCCAGGTGCAAGAGGAGCCCTGCCCGGGCTGGACAAGCGCCTCTGGAGTGGGTGAATCAGTGATGAATGAATGAATACATGAATGAAAGAGGAAGGTTTCTCAATCGGAGGCATTTAGTTATCTTTTTAAGAGACCGTTCTGATGTAAGTATTTTAAAATACGGTTCATAGGAAATGTGAAAAATAAAAAGAAACAAAGAAGGTTACTGACAGCTATGACCACGGTACTATTTTGATGTCATCCTTTGCAGTCTTTGTGGACTTGGTGGTTGGTTTGTTTTTTAGAGGCTTTGTCGTCATTTTCTGTGTTCAGATGTATATCCTGCCTTCTCCTTTGGCAACATTAACGGGAGCCTTTTCCTGTTTTGTAACCAGCTCTCCGTAAACACCATGTCTTCAGGCTCTTTCAATCTGGTGGATGTACCATCGTTTACTTAACATTACCCGTTCTGTGCAGCATTCTGGATGCTCCTGATGAATGAGGCAGTGGATATATTTTATGTAGAAAGCTTTTTTTGATGTTTAAGATGATTTCCTGAAAATTATTCTGCTGATGTGAAAGGCTCCGACATGCCTGCAGTAGGAGAAATGGGCTTCTCGTTTTTCCTGGAGAAGGGCGCACTATTCCCTTTTCTTCTAGCACAATCTAGAACCTTCTACCAGAACCAAAAAGAGCCAGGGCAATGAATCACCTGCCTGACCCTCCTCCTTTGCCAGAGGAGGAGACTTCACCCAGAGGCAGGAAGCCAGTCCCAAGGTCACGCAATCTTTGCTGGGCTCTGCAGCAGCCTGTCATGGGTCACGGGTCTGCCACTCTGGTTCCTGCATCCTGGGAGACTCCCTAGGGCCCCCTTAGCCTGACCTTGCCCATCTCACAGGTGGGAGCACTGAGACACCACTAGAGCAGAAGCACCCAGCACATCCACCCCCTGGAGAACGAGACAGGCTCCTGAGCCCTTGTGTGTTGTACCCGCTGGCCATGTCCATAGTCTCTGGGGTCACCCGTGTTACCAGCTTGCCACCTGTCAGATATTTGGCCCCTGTCACCCACCCTCTCCCCACTTACCCTTTCTTTTTGCCGTCCCATTTTCCAAAAAGAAAAGCTGAGAGTCCAAATAGGTGTGTTGAGGGGTAGAGCTGCAGAAGTCAGAGGGCCTGTTGGCTAAGCCCCTGCCCACCCCTGCGCCCTCAGCATACTCGTGAGAGACCAAACTCTGGGTCTGTTCAGGAGCTGGCAGCAGTGGTCTGCACGGTTGCCCACTTTGGGGGAGTGGGAGAGGCCCAGCTCTGTCTTCAGCTCTCTCTCTGATCTCAGATTAACCCCAGGAGTGCCGCCCCACCCCACCCTGGAGAGGAAGGGTAAGCAAGGACGAGAGAAGAGGAGAAAAGGATGGAAGGGGAGAAGAGAGAAAAAGGAAGGGATTGGAGAAGAGGGGAAGGGGAAACCTGTATGATTTCATGAACCAGTGTTACCCAAAATTATTTACAAAAAAAGAAAGAAAAGAGGGAGAGGAGGTCAGAAAGGAAGAAGATGGGGCTAGGAAAGGACCTATTTAAAATGAAGACAGAGAGAGAATCTCTCCCCCTCAACCTCACTGAGCACTCAGGGGAGAAGCTGGGGACAGCACTTCCAGCGTGGTACTGGGGACAGCCAGGGCTGGACAGCCAGGAAAGGCTGGACATTGCAGGACGCTGCCAGGGCTGGCTGGAGTAGCTGTTTGGCAGGGGGAGGGGGATGCTCTGGGGCTCAGAAGGATCCAGACCAGGTGCCACCCAGGTGACAGGGAGGCAACATGTTGGTGGCTTCTCTGTTCATGGGTTCCCCAATGGGACAGGTGGCAGGACACCTCAATTTCAGGGGCTGGGGCTGGACTTCCCAGTGCAGGGAAGGGAGTGTTTGTCTCCCCGCTGAAAGGTGCAAGGCCCGGGAGGCTCCCCACCCCCCACCCTGTGAGCGTGGGTGTCTGCGTACTGGGACCTGTCCCCACTGGCACACCACCGTCGTAGGTGCCTGTGCGTTTGTGCCTGTGTCAGATGCTGTTCGTGTGTTCTTCGGAGTTGGGGTGCCTGCTGGCCCGGGCACGTGTGTACCCACATTTGCGTGCCTCAGATTCTGTTTGTATATTTCTTAAGGGGTCTGTGTGCTTTCCAGCTTTGGCACATGTGCATGCAAATCTGTGTGTGTCCCTGTCTGTGAGTCTCTGATGCCATTTGCACATTTCTGGAGAGTGTGCCCCCAAGCTTGGGCACATTTTATGTGTGACTGTATGTGAATGTAACTTACCTCCTAGTGGCCCCAAGAGGGATCCAGGCAGCAAGCTTTCATGCTGCTTGCAAGGTTGTGGCAGAGTGGGTGGAAGGGTGAGGGGGGCAGCCTTCAACTTGGAAGGATGGATGGGGGAAGGCCAAAGAAAATCTTAAAAGACCACCTTCCCTCTGGTCTCCAAGGAGATTAGCCTGTGAAATGATCTGCACGTTAATTAAAAATGATTCTGTCCTGATTGAGCCATTCTTGCTCACATCCCCTGGTGAGGGAGAGGGTGAGGTTGAGAACAGAGGATGTAAAGTGGGGCAGGGTCCAACTGTAAGGCGCAGGCAGCCGAGCCCCAGCCCACAGAGGGGGACTCACCACAGGGGAACGGAGTGGCTGGGGGTTGGGGGTGTGAGGAGGTTGAGTGGACATACTCCTTTGAATTTGAAAGACACTCGCTCCTGTAGGTGGCACGCTCTGAGGTTCTAGGAGCTGGGCGGTTGCCACCAGGCCCCATGGACCCCACTCATGCCTGGCACT